TATATATATATATATATATATATATATTAAAATGTATTTGTGTTAAAATAAAAATGGTGTGAATTAATCTTGTTGGCAAATAGCGTAAATTAAATAAAATATCGGCATATTTCTAAACACTAAATCCAGAATACAGTTCAACTATTAAAATTTAAATTATTTAACGCGGCTTTGGATTATTTCAAATTCTCAGTACATAACAGTTGGAATCGAAACTTAAGCTCTTCAGTGTATTGAGACCCCAACTGTGAGAATGTCATAGCTTCCCCTGTACTATTGAGACAAATGTATTTAGTCTGTTTCACAACCAACATATGAGTTTTATTGTTGTCACTTGTTCACAGTTTTAAACCATTTGCAAAATATCAGAATAAACTTTATGTATATCAGTTAGACTGTTTTAATTCTAAAGCAATAACAACAAAAGTGTGGGTCTTACTACAAAGTAAAGATTGTAAGGAGGAAAAATATAAAATTCTTATGTGATACTGGTATTAGTAGTATTAAGTACAAATCACACAAGTTTATCATTTTAAATACTGAATCATATTATTATTATTATTATGAACTAAATATAAAATTATGCTAAATTATTGAACTTAAAACTACCAATTTAAATGCAAAAGAATATAAAAAATCACAAACTCTTTCAGTTCAAAGTGCTAAGCCTAATTCACATAAAGACCTTGCACTCACCACTCGATAGCTCTTAACCCTAACAATCGTGGATCAACTTCTTTCCTAAAAATATATCTATTGTGAGTTAATTTTTCAATATAATGATTATTATAAATAGATATATGATACAGCATGACTTAAGCTGCTATAGAAAAATAATAAAAGTCATGTATATCCCATGCATTTTTTCCAGAAGCAAATTTTCTAAGGCTTATAAAAAGTGCTAAGTACAACCTATACATAAAACGACAGTTACTATAATAAGCACCATCCACATTCATATTGTAAAATCCTGAGAACAACGTTTCATCACATGCTTTGCTTATCACCGTGTGATTTGTCAAACATGAAATACAGTAATTGGAATAACATTGTACTGAAATTGACACCTTTGACTAAGATTGGCTAAAAGTTTTACAACTGAGGTTTAACACACCCAGATGCTGTTTTATAAAGAAAACAGACTAGAAAAAGTTTAGATACCAATCATAGATGGCAGGACCAGCGCTGAAGTGCAAGGAAAATGTTTTTTGTTTTTTTTTAGTTTCTTAGAGGGTGCTTATTTATAGTCTCAAACATATTTTGAGATTTTTTTTATTAAATTCCTCTTTAAACTTTATTAAATAATACAATTTTGTGCAAATAATTGAATTTTATGCTACTATTTACAAAAATAAAATCTGACATCCAATAAATGATAAGTTCTCTATAATTTTTCAATTCACAAATGTGATTTTGCCTTCATGATAAAACAAAATGGCCATGGCAGGTAATGGGTTCATATGTCAATTAATGAAAATAGCTTAGCAAACGGTTTAATGCTGTGTTTGTTGTTTCTTTTTTTAACTCAGTAAAAAATTCAGTTTAACTCTGTAACACACTTTCTGCCATTCCTCTTTTTATCTTTAGTTACTAATCATACCTGTAAGGTAAATCCAGTCCACTGAAACTACCAAACAATTTCAATGGAAAATATTCTGAATATGTCAAGGTTGAATGTAAGAGGACTACTATTAGAAGAGTGATATAAACAGAAGTGATTCAGCTACCTAGAATAGTGATGTCAAAGATGACTTTCTCAAAGTGATAGAAATTAGAATTAGTTTGACAGCTGAACTCATATATAGGTTTTTCTGTACATCTACAAGTATGTCATAGTATTTGAAGGTCACTTTTCCTACAACTTTTACGAGTTTCATTTTCTATATTTCAGTCTTCTGTCGTTTCAGACAATTTTTCACTGTGATGTTTAAGATTGGTGATCACCAGTTTATAACCAGCAATTTTCAGAGTAAACTTAAGGTTAAATTATATTTTACAGTACATACATATTTATTAGATATACAGTATTATTATTTCAATTTCAAATACTATTTTGCTTTTTTTAATATCCTTTTATTCAGTATAGTACATTGATTTCCTTCTTTACTAAATATTAAAAGATTTCTCTCCTACATATTCAGAAATAAATCCATTTCATTTCCTATAAAAGAATGGTTAACCCTATGCACAGGTGGGGGCACAAATGCATGTTCCACAATTTTTTACTGAATGCCATTCAAAATGGTATTCTGTATTTGATAACAAGCCTATCAATTATTCATTTTACCCAACACTGCTGACTTAGTTAAAGTTTGTGTTAAAAGAAAGTTATTATCAGATACAATGTAAAAGCATACTGAAATAAATCTGTAGATGTGCATTTTGGAGGTCCTAGATGTTATGCAAATGCAATATGCAAACTGTACAAAGGAAAAAAGGATTTTTATTCTTCACATGAACATCATCTTCCACTCTGACTTGTTAGAATCTGGGTCAGACTGACATTGTCAATTCAGACATATCTTGAACATAAACACTTTTTGTAACACATCCAATTTTTTGTGTACAGCACACTTGTACATTTTCAATAAAGCTTGTCACATTTCATGTAGATACACATAATAAAATCGGAATTATATTCAACATTATTCTCCAATATGGGATCATTCCAATGGACTAACTCCATGCACATTTGGTTAAAGGATATTTTATAATTCATCAGATGTGAGGAAAAATTAGTGCTCTTGAAAAAAACCTAACTTTAACTCTTTCTAGACCAGAGGGGTTTCACTGATATCCTGATCTTTTCTTACATTGTTGACTTTCGGTGGTTTTGAAATAAAAGTATATATGACAAAAGTTAATTTCATATGATGGTAGTATTTGAATATTCATAAAAATACTGCCTCAATATGTAAGTTTTATTTTAGAAACTAAGCAGAAATGTATGTGATCTAGTAATTTAACTTAGAACAAGATACACAAATATGGAATAAATTTTGATCATAAACAGACTATAAGTACAAAAATTATGTTCAAATAAACACATCTCTATTTGTAAAAGGATACTCTTTTAATTCTTAGTTTCAAATTGGAAATTTCTTATTTTACCCTTACATCATATATTTTTAGAATAATACATTAGCAAGGACTTAAAATATTATCATGAAAGAAATGTATTATATTAAAAATTTAACAAATATGTTTAAAAGAGAAATTCCTAAGCCTCACATTTTTTGCTCAAGATTTAATATCAAACTTTTTTCAAGCAAATTCTTTCTCAGTTTTTTTTTCATGCTTGAAATTTCCATTTAAAATTTTCTTGATTGATAAATTATACTTACCTGTCCAGGAAAAATTAGTCGACTGGTAAGTCGATTTAGTTTGGTCAGTTCTGAAGGTGTAGTATCAAAACGAGCAGCTATACCTGTTAATGTATCTTTGGCATTAACCTAAAAAATAATTAAAATTCAAAATATTAGAAAAAAAATATATATACTAGCTGTAAATTTTTTGTTATCCTTCTTTTCAACCTGCACAGAATAGTTAAGTAAAATGGCTTTGCTAAATAAAAAAAACAATTAATAGAAAAAACTTAAGATTAGTAAATGTAGAAACTATGGAATTTAGATCTGTAATATATTATTATTTACACAAAATCAATTGTTACCATACTGAATGCATATCTTCCTAAAATGTGTAAAGAAAGGTTACAAGAAAAATTGCCTTTCAATTTTTTTCATTTTCAAATTCATGAAAAACTTGGATTTTTTAAGAATACATAAACAGATGATATGGTTCATTAACTTAAGCAACTAATTTATAAAGTATATTTCTGTAGTATGTTATATATTATTACAGATTTTGAAATAAGATTTTTGCATGTATCAGTATTACCATTTAGAATTTTTCAAACATTTCAGTGTACAGTCAAAATTTACAAATTAACCTTTTATAGGTATTTTTTTCACACAATCCACCAGGTTGTAATCAAACCCACAAACAGTGTACGTTAGTGTATATGGCTTCATTAGCAAGTAAAGAAAAACTCATTTGCTATCTTTTTTTGTTTCTTGGGCTACGTAGCAGAATAGCAAAACTGAATTATATTCATGGGCTTTGTTACACATGTATCTGTGTTCTAAAATGTATGTATGCTTTTAAGAAAAACAGCACAAGATACAGGATGTTTTTTATTTAGGCATGTCCTGTATTTTCTAATGCCACCTGATTCTGTATTTAATGAAGTAATATTATTTACCAGCTTTATTATTAAATTAATCTTTCAGTTAAAGTAGCATGAAAATGTTATTATTTTTCAGGTTTTATCTAAACAGCAAGATATTTAATCAATTTTTAAGACTATTAGTTAAGTTAAAAGTTACAAGAAGCAGTATTTTCATGAGTGATTTTTTCTGAACTTTGCAACATTATACATATGAATTAATTTTAAATAAAAACAACTCAACTTTTATCTCTCTCTCTCACACACACACACACACAAACATCTTTAAAAAACCTAAAACTATTCTTTCATGTAAACTCATTTGTTAGAAAAAACTTCCTAATCTGTAAGTAAACGTACTAATACTTTATAACATCAGTCTAAGAGAGCAATTTGTTTTATGCACTTTAAGTAATACATGAAATACTTAATAATGGTCTGATTTCATTATAAACAGTTTCAAACATTAAACCTTCTTTTTTTTTTAGTTTTCAAAATATACTTTTGTAAGTGTCTCTCTCTCTCTCAAAGCTGTAAGATTAGACTCCAATTTCCTAAACTTAATATTATCATTAAAGATGTTTAAGGCTTTTTCTAGATATTCCTTCTTATTCAAAATTACTATATCATTAATTTGAGGAGGTTTAACTATTACTAAATTATTCAATGAACTATGATGTTTAGGTTTAAAATCATAAAAACCTGAAATTTCAGCAATTGTATTGTCAAAATTAAAATTACTTTGAGATTGAATAGATATAAGTCTTAACTGTCTTTTTTTCAGCTTATGGAATCTTCTAAAAAAGAAGACACAGTAAACTTTTCTTCACTTTCTTATTCATTTCAACCTCAATTTAGTAAGAATATTACTTTACCGAAACTCAATAAAATGCTAAAAAAGTATAAAAACTGATGTTGAAACAAATACTTTCAAATTTTCTAACACATTCAACATTTGTAATAAGTAAAACAAAAAAGGTTGAGAGCATTAGATATATGGGTGCAGTATCCAATAAACATAAATACAGCATTATAAACATGCCTATAAACATATTAAAGTTTATTATTAGCAGCTTATTTCAGTGACAATCATTATAAAAAAATTAACAATACAAAAAATCAAACAAAGCAGGTGATAAAAAGGAGAAACTGAGTTCTAAAGATATATAAACAAATTTTCTCTGCACAGTAGCAATCCTTACACTTTTAGGATATGGACTTTTCTCAAGGATAAAAATAACTAAAAACTAACTCTTTAAAATGCTCTTAGGATAAAGGAAAAAAAATATTTATCATGAATCTCGATCAAGGATGTGGTTCAGCTGCCAATATATCAGTACCTTATATACATCTAAAAATTTGCAATAATATTAGTTCTAGGATATGTGAAAAGAAGATAAAAGATTATGAATATATATTGAATGAGAAGCTATAACAGTAATCAACAAGTTATTGCACAATTATTATGGTGCATATATATCAAGCATAGAAGATTCTCCTCATTGTTAGACATACTGCACTAAGACATAGGAAATTCCCAGTGAAGTCACACAAAATAATAAAGAATATTAATTCCTCAAACAGTTGTATATAGACATTTTTTTAAATATGCCATGGCTAACTACAGCTGCTCTGCAAGAAAAGACAGTGATATAAATACCAAATAAGTAAAGTTAAGTTGTTTTAAAGTATGTGGAATAAAATAAAATGTAAGGAATTACACAACTTTTTGAAAGAACAGATTATATACAGTTGAAACTATTAAAAAAAAAAACATAATGCTTAATAATGTAAGATCTAGTGTGAATAAGGCTATTTAAAAATATTGGGTTTGATTACAAAATATCGAAAAACAATTCACCATTAGGATTATGTAAATGTGCAAAACATCAGCTTTATGTAGATCCACAGTAACTCTACCTCAACCAATTTAATGACTGTAAATGGGAACAATATAAAAGTCCTATATAGTTACTTAAAAATATGGGTTCTTTCAATGAATTTGAATACATAGCACAAATGTAACATTATTTTCAAGAATATTCAGCATGTTTTCATCTGAAGAAAAGGCCATTATCACTGCAAGTTCCATTAGTGATACCAGAATGTAGGCCAGGGAAGATTGTTTAATACTAACAAGTTTGTTCCCACTGCAAAAAACAACAACTGGTGTGAATGTTACAGTATCGATTGTATTCTGTACAATGGGCTTGTAACCTAAGTGAAATGTTTTATCTGTACATCTATATCTGGTTTTAAAGTATTGTTATGTCTGTGTTCGTTTATTAATTTTCCATAGAAATTCTTTCTGAGAAACTTCAGCAATACAAGTCCTTTCTAATTAAAACTAGTTTATTCTTTCTCGTTACAAACTTTGTAATACACTCAATTTCCACAGTTACTTTAACTTAAAAACATGCTATAATTCAAATCAATTCACGTACTTTACTTACGGTCACTACTGCTCACTTGACTCAATTATCTGTCTCTATCTCTCTATCTGCTATACAATTCCGATTAATTGTCTCGCTTTATCTGGCGTGCTTATATACAGGAATAGAGGTCATCTAGCAAATACTGGATTATTTGTGATGTTCCCCAATCCTTCTAGAAACTCATCACGTGTTACCAGCATCACGTGACTTCCACTGTTGTAACAGTATCAATATAAAATGTTAGACCCCAGATTGTAACTCTACAGATCACCTCTGGCACATCACCTCTTATTTGAGTTAATTCTAAGGATTAGACTACAGCCTTCCAGTTACTATTAACTGAACGAGCTTTTCAAACAATGCAGGTGAGAAACTAAACTAAAAATAATCAAATTCTCAAACAGCAGCAGTGATTCAGATCAAAAGCAATGCAATATCAAAGTGCAACAATGGTCTTCTGAGGCAATATGATCTGTCATTTCTCGCTTGACATATGTAATATTCAGAAATTACAGAGGATTCTGATTGTTGATTAATAAAAATTTGTCATATACTTCTGAGACTGTGCTGTATAATTTTATAACCACAAAGAAACCTCAGATTTTAAATATGAAACTTATTTGCTCCAGTAACATATCCCATGCCATGATCAGCTTTGAGACATATTAGCTCTCATCAGCCAAGGTATATCAGTAATGCGAAATACTATTCAAATTAGCATTATATATACCTAGGCATATAAAAGTTCATTTGTATAATATTCCCTATTATCAACCTAGATGGGTTAACGAACCACTACATGATGAATCAAATGCAAGCTTCAAGTTTACTGAGCCTCAAAATCAACTTTATTGTGAAAAAACACAAAGATGGGTATATAACTCAATCTAAGACAAACCTTAAACATGTTAATACAATGAAAAAATGAGACAATTTCAAAGACTAAAGTACTTCATAAAAAAAAATAGGCCCATAGTGGGGGTAGCGCACAACATTCCAGTCGTGACCTCTGAGGGCAATAACACACAGCTCACAGACATGGTATGTTGAGGAACCTTCAATAATTAAATAAAACACATGAACCAATGTAAAAAAAAAAAAAAGCAGTTAATGGATCTGCAATGAAAAACAAGGGTGAGATACTGCTAGTGAAGAGTCCGAGTTATAGGGTTTGTCTCTATATACCATAAGTTAATTGTCTTGGATGATTTTGCCAATAATATTAGATAAAGGATAGAAATAAGTTCTGTAAGGATAAGTAACAAAGTGGATTTTGGTTACAGTCTGATGGAAAAGGTTCACTTGTTGCTGGAAGATCCCACTTGTACCAATCAAGTTAAAAAATCTACTTTTAAAGGTAGATCTGCACTTCTTGAACAATCAGAAAAATGCTAAAAATTTTATTTATACTTCAATGTTTCTAACTCTAACCAGCACTTCTCAACTTGATCGATTTTTCTGCACTTATCAAACTGCTCCAAGGACATGATCCAACTCTATAAAAAAGATGGCAGTAATCCAGAATTTTCAAAAAGATTGCTGTACAAACTCTTTATAAGTATGCTATTTCTGGTCTAGTCTAACAGTATTTCACTTCAGGTTCTATAATGTATAATGTATAGAGAGAAAAAAGTGAAAAACACTAACTGTACTAAGGAAATGGTTGATTTGAAAATGCTTAAAGTGGAATCACTGACAGATACCTTAGAAGAACTGTTAATGCAGTTATAATGATTATGACTGGGAGAATTTCTCATGTTAACTTAATTGATAGCTTATCTAATGTTATATC